AGAGAAGAACAACCAAACTGATAAGAGGCATGAAGGAGTTCAGCTATGAGCAAAGATTAAAGGAACTGAATTTATTCTCTCTTGAGAAGAGGAGATTAAGGGGGGATATGATCAACATGTATAAATACATCCGTGGTTCTTATAGTGAACTCTGTGTAGAGCTATTCATCCTTGAGGTCATCACAGAGGACAAGGGGGCACTCTTTACATCTAGAGGAAAAGAAATGTAATCTCCAAACACGGAAAGGTTTTTTCACAGTAAGAGCTGTAAAAATGTGGAATAGACTCCCTCAAGAGTTGGTTCTGGCCAGCTCAGTGGATTTCTTTAACCGCCTCCTGCCCGCCATATAGTAATAGGATGGGCGCAAGGCGGTTCTCTCGTTCTGGGAGGACGTCATATGACGTCCTCCCATTCTAACCGCGCATGCGCGGCTCCGTGAGCACGCAGCGTGGTGATCGTCGGTGCGCTGTGTCCCTCGGACACAGCGGATCACCGATCAACAGAAAGAGCCGAAGATGTCGGCTCAGTGATGTGATCAGCTGTGTCCAATCACAGCTGATCACATGTAAACAGGGTAATGCTGGTTATCGGCATTTCTCTCCCCACAAGCTGTCAGCTCGTGAGGAGAGCCGGTAATCGGCTTTCCTCAGAGGGGACATGTACACAGATCATCAGACCAGCAGTGCCACCTGTCAGTGTCCATCAGTGCTAGCTGTCAGTGCTCATCCATGCCACCTGCCAGTGCCCATCAGTGCCACATCAATGCCATATATCAGTGCCTACCAGTGAACATCGATGCCACATCAGTGCTCATCTGAGCTGCCTTTCAGTGTCACCCATCAGTGCCAGTCAGTGCCGCCTATCAGTGCCATATAGGAGTGCTCCCTTTCAGTGCCCATTAGTGATGCCTGTCAATGTTCATCAGTGCCTCCTCATCAGTGCCCATCAGTGCCACCTATCAGTGTAGCCTATCAGTACCGATCACTACAGCCTCATTAGCCACATCAGTGAAGGAGAAAAAATCACTTATTTACAAAATTTTATAACAAAAACTAAGAAAAACATTTTTTTTTTTTTAAATTTTCAGTGGTTTTTGATTTAAAAAAAAAATAAAAAAAACCCAGAGGTGATTAAATACCACCAAAATAAAGCTCTGTCTTAAAAAAAAATGATAAAAATGTCATATGGGTACAGTGTTGCATGACCGTACAATCGTCATTCAAAGTGTGACAGCGCTGAAAGCTGGAAATTGGCCTGGGCAGGAAGGGGGTATAAGGGCCCTGTAGGCTAGTGGTTAAAAAAAGGCCTGGATTCTTTCTTGGATACACAGAATATAATTAGATATAACATTTATAGGTAAAGTTGATTCAGGGAATATCTGATTGCCTGAATCAACTTGAATTTTTTTCCCCTGCAGGAGCAAATTACATCATGCTTTGCTGGGTATTTTTGCCTTCCTCTGGATCAACTGTGGATGTAGGATTAGAACTCTTTTTTTTTTTTTAATGGTTGAACTGGACAGACTTTTGTCTTTGTTTAAGCCTCACTAAGGCTAGGTTCACACCTATGCAGTTTGCAATTGATCCATTTCTGCAGTGCGTTTTTGTACGTGTTTGACGCGTTTTGCGGTTTTATTTTTGGACTAATTGGAATAATGACAACTTTGATATCACAGGATGTGATGATTACATTTTTTACTTCCAGTTTCCTCCCTGTTTGTGTGGTGGTATTTGAGACTATCATTCCTCGCTGCTGCTGCTACTGTTACTGCAGTCTTGATAGAAGAAAAAGCAGGAGGAGTCAGCGAAGATATTGGGTGCATCCAATGATTGCCAATAGGGAACAGAGGCCAATTCTGGGTGATGTATGATGACCTCAAAGCACATGAGGATAAGTTTTTCAAGAATACTCAGATGTCTGTTAAAAGGTGAGTCATTTTAATGGCAAGTGCGCATGTACAGGTCACGTTGTTGTTTTAACAACTATTTTTGTATTTCATTACACATAATTTTGATGAGTTGATGGGATTACTCAGCACCAGGATGAAGCGACAGAATACGTTCTTCAGGAATAGCATTCCACCAGTTCAAAGGCTAATAATAACATAACATTAAGTTAAGTGTGTTTGCGTGTGTTTGGGGGGGGGGGGGAATCTTTTTCTCACTGAACACCTTATGCTAATCAATCATTGGCGTCAGTGGCAGGAATAGTGGACCTTCATTGGTGTCAGTGGCAGGAATAGTGGCCCATCATTGGTGTCAGTGGGCCAAAATAGTGGCCAATCATTGTTGTCAGTGGCAAAATAAGTGGCCCTTCATTGTTGTCAGTGGCGGAAATAGTGGCCCTTCATTGGTGTCAGTGGCGGAAATAGTGACCCATAGTTATTGTCAGTGGCGGAAATAGTGGCCCATCATTGTCAGTAGCAGGGCAATAGTGGCCCTTCATTGTCAGTGGCAGGAATAGTGGCCCATCATTATTGTCAGTGGCAGGAATAGCAAGCCATCATTGGGCAGCACAGTGGATAAATGGTTAGCACTTCCGCCTGGCAGTACTAGGGTCGTTGGGTCGAATCCCCACCACGGCACCACCTGCCTGGAGATTGCATGTTCTCTTAGTGCCTGCGGGGGTTTTCCTCTGGGTACCCCGGTTTCCTCCCACACTCCAAAGACATGCTGGTAGGTGAATTGGCTCCGGTCTAAATTGGCCCTAGTATGTGTATGTATGAATGTGAGTTAGGGACCTTAGATTGTACGCCCCTTGAGGGTTAGGGACTGATGTGAATGTACAATATATATGTAAAGCGCAAATTTACAGCGCTATATAAGTACCTGAAATGATAATAATAAATCATTGGTGTCACTGAAAGGAATAGTGGCCCATCATTGGTGTCACTGGCAGGAATATTGTCCTATCATTGCACAGGAAAGTGTCAAAAACATAATGCATTTAATATGTGTACTAGCATAGGAATACTTGTATAATTTTTTTTGTCTTTTGGAAAATGAATCCCAACTAGGATATATTTCCTGAACGATCTCTATCCATCCCTTATCCCGTTTCAAACGGTCCTTGTGCTGGGTCTACGCTATTGTACAGATAGCTTCTTGGCCTCACGAGCCTGATTAGCTCCTCCGTCTTGACCATGCTGCCTCCCTGATCAACTTCCTCCCCAGGGCTGTGGAGTCGGAGTCGTGGAGTCGGAGGAAATTTTGGGTACCTGGAGTCGGAGTTGGCAAACAATGCTCCGAGTCCGACTAAATTTAGATTGGAATTAAAAAAAAAAAGCAAGTTTAAATGTCCCAATTCACAAAAAGTTATAATTAATGACTTCTCTCTATCGTTAGTGATGTGGCCAGAATAGTTACTGCAATGCCACCCACCCAAGTCAGTATCGAAAGATTATTTTCAGCCCTAAAAATAATAAAGTCTGACTTAAGAGCCTCTATGAAAGAGGATCTGGCAGAGGCAATTCTCTTCCTTAGAACTCTACATTAAATTGATTTGCATTTGCTAAGCCTATAACTACATTTCAAGATTAATATAAACCATTTCTAGGTTTTACAGATTTTGTTTTTGGTTCATATAGATAAGCTTTGTTTTTGTTCTAAAACAACCAAATAACGTGGTTTGTATTTTTGGACTGGTAAAGTTCCTGTTCCTGATGTTTATGCCTGCTGCTACTATCCAGCCACTTGATTAATTAATAAAAAAAAATTAATAAAACTTTGTTGTTTTCATTGTGTTTGTCTTTTGCTTAAACTGTTCAATACAGTAGACTGTTGGCTTCCCAGCCAGTAGTCCTGTGGTAATGACATGTATGTGGCCTTTCTTTCCTTCAAGGAATGTATAAAATACATTCGCATATTAATACAGAGGAGTCTGAGTCGGGGAGTCGGAGGTACACAAAACTGAGGAGTCGGAGTCGGGACATTTATCTACCGACTCCATAGCCCTGTTCCTCCCTGCTCAGTTTCCTGGTTTTCTGGGCATGAGAAATCTGTAAGGGAGGGGTTTATTGGCATGCAGATTAAAAACGCAAAACGCAGCGGAAAATACGTAAAAAATGCAGCACTTGCAGTTTTGATGCTTTTCCATTGAAATCTATTGAACGCAAAATGCAACTTTTTGCATTTAAAAAAGTCCCTGACCCTTTCTAAAAAACGCAAAGATGTGAACCTGTCCCATGGTAAATCAAGGTAAATGGACTGCTGTGCCTTTCTGCAAAACGCAACAGAAAACACGTATGTGTGAACCTAGCGTAACTATATGAAAACTACAGTAAGGGTTTATAGCGTTATACGGAGTGCAAGAAATATTGAAAATATATATGACGTGACTGGAATTGTCGTCTCAACTGAGGGAAACCCAGGACTAGGACGACGTGCTGGAAGCCACCAGCACCACCGTTAGATGCCGGTGACCACCATCCATCCAGTGGCTTCACACTCCTTCACTACAGCGGATGCTTATTAATTTACAAGTGCAAACCTACTTATGCTTTGTGAGTGGTCTGTATTACTACACTTTTTATCCATTAAAAATCTTTCATACTGCACTTAGAGAGCACTGCCTCTTTCTTCCTAATGGTGCCCCTATGCTCTTTCAGCCAAAGTATGAGCACTGTAACACAGAAGATGTGTTGCTGGCCAGATCACCAAGTGAAAACAGAGGGAAAAAGCCTAAAAAAACAAAAAAACAAACACACCACATCTAATGATTGATAAGCTGCAATATATTAAATTTTTGGTTTTGGGTTTAGTACTGCTTTAATCATTCTAACGTCTTTAGAAGTGAACTGTACAACCCTTTAAAGTGTTGTAACCACTTGCCTACCAATTTTCAGCTTTCAGTGCACTTTTGAATGACAATTGCGCAGTCATGCAACACTGTACCCAAACAAAATTTTTATCATTTTTTTTTAGACAGATAGAGCTTTCTTTTGGCGGTATTTAATCACCACTGGGGTTTTTATTTTTTGCTAAACAAATTAAACAAGACTGATGGGTGGCACTGATGGGCATTGACAGGCATCACTGATGGGCACTGAAAAGCAGCACTCATACATGACAATGATAGGAACGGTTAGGCAGCACTGATTGGAACTATTAGGCAGCACTGATAGGTGACACTGAAAGGCAGCTCTAACGGACACTGATATGTGGCATTGATGTGCATTGGTAGGCACTGATATGTGGCATTGATGGACACTGACAGGTGGCACTGATGGGGCTACACTGATCATCAGTGTAGATGTCTCCTTTGAGGAATGCCGATTACTGGCTCTCCTTTTATCACACGCTGTCAGCGGGAGGAGAGGACTGCCGATAACCAGCATTTCGTATTTACATGTGATCAGCTGTGATTAGACACAGCTGATCACATGACAATCAATGTCATTGGCTCTTTACAGTGATCAATAATCCTCCAACGTCCAAGATGGCGCGCATGCGCAGTTAGAGTGGGAGGACGTCCTCCCAGAACGAGAGAACCGCCACCCACCCATCATTACCTTATATGGTGGGTGGTAGATGGTTAAAGTGTTACTAAACCCAGGACCCTGCATTCACTATACCTGCTCTCCCACAGTACACAGAACATGGAAGTGCAATTATTTTAGTAATTATAAAATGCTAAATACCTTTTCTCATCAGCAGTTAGGGAAGTCTTGGGACTTCTCTCAGTATCTAGCTAAACACATGTTAAAGCTTGTAGGAGGAGTTTTCATTTTGCTCTAGGAAGATGCAGAACCCCTGACCTCTGTCTGGACAGTGCTGATTGGCCCTGTGCTGATCATATGCACTCTCCCAAGAAAAAAAAACAGAAAACTTTTGAGCAATACACACCAAACTAAGCATGTGCAGTGTGACTCCATAGGACATCTTATCAGGAGATAAGAGGGGGACACTGGAAGAACGGGTGGATTGGAGAAGTCATGATCAAACAGCCTTTTTACACAATGCAGAGGATTAACCCTTTAGGTTCCACAGTGAGTATAACAAGCATGCTTTACTGCATATACAGAGTGATATTACTGTTGTGGGTTTAGTAACACTTTAAAATATATGCATGTATGTATTTTCTACTTTTTTTTTCTCCGTTTTTTACTACTTTCAGCTTTTCAATGTCCACTTGTAATAAACATTATCTTGATGTAGGCCAGGGGTGACCAACCTTTTGACCTTCCTGGGCCACACTGGAAGAAGAGCAATTGTCTTGGGCCACACATAAAATACACTAACAATAAGAACAGATGATGAGCAGTTCCTCTTGCGGCTCTCAGCAGGTAGGTGTGGCCGCCAGGCCCGTTCATTAGAATGACAAGTCGCCGGCAGCCGCGCCTATTTGCAACTCTCTGCAAGGCCAGTGATTACCTGTGGTGATTGGTGCTGAATGCACTTAAGACTGCAGGTAAATCGCTAGCTGTGTAGAGCGGCCGTCAGCAAACTGTCATTATAGTGAATGGGACCGGCTGCCGCACCTATGCATGAGAGCCCAGGAGGAACTGCAGCTACAATCCGCACCGACACTAATCACCGATGTTAAGGTAGCCTACGTATGTGCTATGTGGGGAGGGGTTGTAGGTGGGGGGGAGGTGCAACTGAAATCTGGGGGAGCGCAGCCCACCCCAGCACCCTTGTAGATCCAGCCATGCAACATTTACTTACTTGGCGCCCCTGCATTCCCTGCTGCCAATTGCTTTTGCAAATATGGCAGCCCTGGCATCCCTTCAGGCGTGCATTTGCCTGGTTTGTCAATGTAGGGTTCCACGGCTGCTGTGCTTTCATGGCATCCCCAGCATTCCTAGAGGTGTGCATGGACTGGGCTTGTTTGTCAGCCGCAGTGGCTCCTATGCTTGCACGGCATCCCTCCAGACGAGTCAAGACCACATGCTAAACTCTGGTGGACTGGACACCTTGATGCAGATTTTTGTTGATGAGAAAAAAAAAACAATACCTTTTGGGTGATCAATATACAGTGCAAGGATTTTAAACTTTACAGCAGAGTCCTACCTGTTTTTGCTCTAAAGAAAAAGCAATTTGTTGCCTTCAGAGTGAAACTGAATGGGAGTGACTTTTTTATTATCAGTTAATGCACTTGCAGTGTCCACACCCCTTTAGAAGTGACTAACCCTTTTGGAATAGCTCAAAAAAATTAAATTTTTGTAACAGAGTATGCCTAAAATCTGACGTGTATCTTTGTACAGACTTCTTGGAAAATCAGTGAGCCAATCACACAAGCAGGAAATGACATTTCTGGGGGTGTAACACCTCCAGAATGCCATAATGTATTGAATTTTACTTAAATTTACAACTGCAGATTAAAAAGGAAAGGTATTTATGTAAAAACCTTCAATTACAATATGGCTTGTGTAGCAATCATATATACAATTTTTTTGAACAAAGTGGAGTTACCCTTCTTCCAGCTTCCCATACCAGTACGTCGCTGGATTAGAAGGGTGATCTCAGTCATCGCTGCAGCAATGATCAAGATATAATTTTTTTATCCCTAGTGATTCTTCACAAAGTAAAAGTAATCCTAGTGACTAAGAAGCCACCCAGTTACTTTTACAGGTGGTGGAAAGGGATCGCACCCCCCCTCCCACCACTGCCTTTACTGGGCTCTCCCATGTAACTGGGGAGTGTGGTAAGGATGCGACTTGCAGCATCCGGTTCCTGGAAAGCAGTGAGAGGAACTGATGTTGTTCCACTGTGTACCGTCAAACTGGAAGTGATGAGGATTTTGTCACTTCTGGTTTTGGTCTCTTGTAGATAAGCCACACCGACTTGAACAAGATCGATTTGATCAGATGCTTTTAGAGGCTAACAGACCCCAGATCTCTCTATGTAGAGGACCCGTCATAGCTTATACCATTACAAGGGATGCTGTCCATCCCTTCTGATGGCAATAAAAAAAAAAAAAAAAAAAAAAAAAAAAAAAAACTCAAAAGATAGTGTAATTTTATTAAAAAAAAAATATATAAGTGTCCCCAGTCTCCCGTGCTCATGTGCAAATGTGAACAAGCACACATACAGTTGTGTTCAAAATAATAGCAGTGTGTTGAAAAAAGTGAATAAAGCTCAAAGTCCTTCTAATAGCTTTTATTTCCATACACACAAATACATACACATTCTATTCCAAATCAAAACATGAAGAAAAATATATCAAATATGTGTTGTTCCTCTAAAACAATTGAAGAAAAGTGATTAGACTGTTCAAAAAAAATAGCAGTGTTTGTATTCTTCTTTACAAACGCAAAGATTCACTATATAAACTGAAAAATGTTTGAAGATTTTGCTTTCCTTTGAATCACTTTATTAATATTTAGTTGTATAAGCACTGTTTCTGAGAACTGCTGTACATCTGTGTTGCATGGAGTCAACCAACTTCTGGCACCTGTGAACAGGTATTCCAGCCCAGGATGATTGGACTACATTCCACAGTTCTTCTCTATTTCTTGGTTTTGCCTCAGAAACTGCATTTTTGATGTCACCCCACAAGTTTTCTATTGGATTAAGATCCAGGGAATTGGGCTGGCCACTCCATAACGTCAATCTTGTTGGTCTGGAACCAAGATGTTGCACGTTTACTGGTGTGTTTGGGGTCGTTGTCTTGTTGGAAACACCCATTTCAAGGGCATTTCCTCTTCAGCATAAGGCAGCATGACCTCTTCAAGTATTCTGATGTATTCAAACTGATCCATGATCCCTGGTATGCGATAAATAGGCCCAACACCGTAGTATGAGAAACATCCCCATATCATGATGCTTCCGCAACCATGCTTCACTGTCTTCACAGTGTACTGTGGCTTGAATTCAGAGTTTGCGGGTTGTCTGACAAACTGTCTCCGGCCACTAGACCCAAAAAGAACAATCTTACTTTCATCAGTCCACAAAATGTTGCGCCATTTCTCTTTAGGCCAGTCAATGTGCTCTTTGGTACATTGTAACCTCTTCAGCACGTCTTTTTTTTCCAACAGTGGGACTTTGCGGGGGCTTCTTGCAGATAGCTTGGCTTCACATAGGCGTCTTCTAATTGTAACAGTACTCACAGGGAACTTTAGACCTTCTTTGATCTTCCTGGAACTGATTGTTGGCCGAGTCCTTGCCATTTTGGCTATTCTTCTATCCATTCGAATGGTAGTTTTTCGCTTTCTTCCACATCTTTCAGGCTTTGGTTGCCATTTTAAAGCATTTGCAATCATTTTAGCTGAGCAGCCTATTATTTTCTGCACTTCTTAATATGTTTTCCCCCTCTTCAATCAACTTTTTAATCAAGGTACGCTGTTCTTCTGAATAATGTCTGGAACGACCCATTTTCCTCAGAATTTCAGAGAGAAATGCACTGTAACCAGCATGTACAACATTTGCTGCCTTCCTTCCTTAAATAAGGGCAATAATTTCCACCTGTTTTTCAAAGAATGAATGACCTCACTAATAGAACTCCACACTGCTATTATTTTGAACATGCCCCTTTCAATGAGTGATTCAATTACACAGAATCAGCAGCATGCATGTCATGACTGTTGGGTCTGTTGGATTTCTATTACTCTACTACACCTGCTAGTAAATTATTTGCCATGTAGAAATATCATTTCTACCAAAAACAGTGATTGATTAGGTTAGTGATGTCTTACTGCTATTATTTTGAACACAACTCTATGTAAATGGATATTGCACCACACGTTAGGTATCTCCACGAACTTTAGAGAGAGGGAAAGAATTACAGCTCAAATCCTCCTCAAACTCTAAATTGGTAAAGGCTTTTAAAGCGTCTGTGGAGATTTTTTTTTTTTTTTTGGTATTGTAAGTTTGGCACCATTCCACAGGCAGATGCAATTTTAAAGTGTGACATACAGGGGCTGGACAAAAAAAATGGAAAGTACATTATTTGCAGGTGTGAAAGTGACAACATGTTTCATGCTGAAAGCGAAAGGGATTTAACAATTTTTTGCTTCCGCTGTGTGATGAGACACCTAGCTAATAGGTAGGAGGCCTCACTTTAGTCATTCACTGTGTGTACTGCCAGTAATACAGAGTCATGTCAGAGCTTACTGAGCTTCAAAGAGGGCAAACTGTTGGTGCTTGCTTAGCTGGTGCCTCTGTGACTTAAGTTGCCAATTTATTTGCTGTGTCGTCAGGTACAGTATCAAAGGTTATGATGGCATATACAGCTTCTGGGAAAATGACGTTTGATAAGCATAAGCGTGGTCAACTGACTGAAAGAGACAAAAAGGACATCGCGTAGGATTGTGACCCGGAATAAGAAAACAACTGCTGCAAAAGTCTCAGTCTTCACAGGACTAACCCCTGTATTTGGCACCTATTTACTCAGTGTAACATCATCTTCTATATTTTACCAAACGATTGTTATATTGTGTTTTTTGTGCATTAAAATATATTGGGTATTTTTTCCAATAAATTTGTGTTTGAAAAACCACTGTCCAAAGATTTTGT